CCCCGGCTCAGCTGAGGAGAGGGCGACCGAGGGCTCCCCTGTCTCAGCCCTACCCGGAGAACCTAAAGCTTTTGAATTTTTTTGTTACTGGGATTTTTTTTTCCTTGTTTGTTTTTGTTTTTTTTTTTTTTTCTTGGCTCAGCCTCCACAAGGCATGTGAATGTAAGTAATTGTGCCTAACAGTGGTTCAAAGGCTTCTGGAGGCCAAACGCGATGATAATTCTGCTCGTCCTGCCGGTGCGGCACCTTATTTTTGAGAAGCAAAGCGAGCGATGTAGCCCACAGTTAAAAGATCTTCAGAGCCGTACTTGGAAAAAGAGCAAACTAAAGCAAGCCAAGGCGGCAGGAGCGCCGGGGCTGCAGCCCATCTCGCAGCCCTGTTTACCGACAAGCGACAACGGGGTATGAAGGTCTGACTAAATGCAGCAAGAGCTGCGCAATTAGATATTCCCCAGGCAAACGTGGCCTTTGTCACACTTAAGCGAAGCCCGGACCAACACCTTGAGTTATATCGAACTTAGTGGGGCTGGCCTCCCTTAAAGAATAAGCTGTATTGCTTAGACACTTGCAGCAGTTTGGGAAGAGCTGCCGCACAGCTGTAGCATAGGTCTTGCTTGGTCTGTTGGAACTATTCGGAAAGCATTTTGCCCTGCCCTGGTCGTGCGTGTACTGGCTTGCGCTAAAGAGTTACGCCTGCTGCGGCTCCAGAGGTCATGGAAGTCCTGAGTGGGAAGTGCAGGAGGAGTGAAAATGCTAAATGGGATCCGGGGGCTTCCCAAGCCTCCAGTGAGCTCCCTATCTTAAGAAAATCCATCCCTTTAGATTGCATTTGCAGATGGCATTTGTTGTGACTCCCATGCGGTAGATGCTGGCAGGGTGAGCAGCGCGCTTGGCGTGTGGGGCGTTGGGGTGTGGGTGCTGCAGCCGCAGGCGTGCTGTCTTTCAGGACTGGGTGCTGAAAGGAGACGTGCTGGGAAGTACATTCTCCAGCTTCAGTTCAGGACCAGAGCTTCTCCCAGTGTCTGCCTAGGATGAGTCCTCACTGGGTAGTCCAGTGTGGAGCCTGTGTTGTATCTCAGGTGAAGATACCACATGGTGAGAACCCCTCCAGCTCGCCTGCCCTCTGGGACTAGCTGTGGCTCATGGTGGAGGACAATCAGCTACACTGTGCTCGCGTGGTCTGAGTACGATGGGGGCCTGTCGAGTGCAGCTCTCCTTTCCTAGGAGAGGAAGGCTGTCAGATGTATCTTCAGAAAAATCCTTCTGTTTTGAGGGACAGTAGCAATTTCCCAGCAGGCTGGCACCTGCGTGGAGGGCGTTGAGTATGGCCAAGTCGCATTAATGGAGTTTTTCCAGCCCCACCTTGATCTCTGGGATCTCTGCCAACTCACGAGCTCATTCTGCAGTTCATTTTTTGAGATGTGGGTTGGTTCGGTCACAAAAGGTTTCCCTTGTTGCGGTTCCTGCAGGAGGAGGGAGATAAGTTGGCCCAAGATTGAAAACATTTGTAAGTCTGTATTCTGCAAGATTACTAAGGCAGTGGGGCATCTTGCCCATTATTTGAATTGCTGACTTGGCCGTAGGCATGGCTTATATAGCATAGTAAATACGATTTAAAATGTTCTTTGTTTAAAACGGGAGAGGGAGAGTTTAATATATGCATAGGGTAACTGTGCTGTCAGTGAGTAAAATGGAAAAGACCTCAAAGTTGCAGAGGGTGTTTTATTGGGTTAACCCTACAAGCCCTCCTACTATTAAAACTTCAAAGCAGATTTCGGACTTGATGCTTATTGAGGCCTAATCAACATTGTATTGTAGCTGACTAATTTTGCAGCTAATACATGTCTTAAAAATAAGCTAGAATGTTTGTTATACTTTTAGTTTGCAGAATTCATTTAGAAATTTACTTAAAAGTTAATTTTCAGTCGGAGATGAAGGATGCTGCCACCTATTATAATTTGAACAATTGATTTTCAGAGTTGCTACCAAACCTCTATATTAATATAGTCAGTGAACAGTAGAGAACCACCTGTCTCTCAGTGGTGATGAGGTGTGCAGATATTGGAGAGACCATCTGAACACACAATGCAGTAAAGAAAAAAGCCTTGAGAATTTGGGAACTTGGAAGGCGTGGGCCTCCAGCTCCTGGTTGATTTTGACAATCTAGTCCTTGAAACACTGATTTATTTGTTTTACTACAGAATTTGTGCTTCATATGCTCTAAGGGGAGCATTAATTAGAAGTTGGAGGGTCCCCAGCCTTTGAAACATCTGTTTCTGCAAAATTAAAGCTAAGATGAATTTGTGTATGCTTCTCCTTTGGTTTGAGGCTACTCTACCAAATCCCTTTCTGTAGTTGGTCATGGTGCCCCACAAAGAGACTTCACCTGATGCTTTTCTAAGAATGTTGTGCCATTCAAATGGCGGGGTAGGCTGGGGGCACAGACATAATAAAACACTACCTCTTTAGTTCACAGGTTGAAACAAGCTTGTGTAATTAGATTGTTAATCCAGGAGATTAATTTGACTAGCTGTTTCTTGGAACCCTATAAAGCAGCAGAGTTAGAATTACCAGTGGTATTGGAAACACTGTATTTGTTTATCTGGTACCACATTAAACCCCTATTTGTAATGGCCTGGTGGCAGTAATACTCTGTAGTCTCTCTTGCTGTGTTTCTGCAGACAGTAAGAGATTTGGAGTAGTTCCCTTGGCAATTACCACACTGTAGAGCCAAGTGGCCTCAAGCAGAAGAAAAACTGTATGCACAGCCAAAAGCGTTTTTACCTTTAAGCACAAGCCCTCTCAGGCGATTGAGCCAAATTCCATTCCTAACACCGTATGTGCTCCCACTTTCTCTCTCCTGAGATTACATTACCCGCATGTGGCTCAAGATGCTCTCGAGATAGGGAGGTTCAATGTAAGCCTGAAGAAAAGACCCAGGAACATGGAGGAGCCTCTCCCCCAGGACTTGTGGTGGAAAGCACAAAGTCTCTCCTGCTTAGCCCTGTTGGCCAGAATGGAAGTCTTGGTCTGGAAGTAAAGGGTGGTGAGCTTGGAGAGAACCTGGAAGCCTTTGTGGATTTCTTACAGCTGAACGTAAACGTGCAGATGACATAATGAGTATGAATGATGTAGCGGTTCCCTGAGAGGGCTCTTTGCTGGAGGTGTTAGGCAGTGGGGGTGACTACAGGGTGTGGAGGTGGAAAGGTCTGCCTTCTTGCTTGGAGAAAAAAAAAAAAAAAAAGAGTAAGGCCCTACATGTACCTCCCTCTGCAGGATCTGGATTTAGGAATGAAGCAGGACTTAGAAATTTAGGAGGTTTTAGAAATGCCTTGTTGTTAGCAGATGCATTTTTTGTGTGATGAAGGTGAACGAACATCGGTTCTGGCGGTCTCTGGATGTGTAGGTAGAACTCCTTACTCACCTTGTGCTCCTTAAAGAGTAGGAATGAGCCTAGCTGTCTGAGTTATGCTGAAATCCTCTTGTACCAGGGCTACGCAGCAGAGGTCTGTTAGCAGGTCTGAGATCTGTGTTTATCTGAAAGAAGGGATTTTCTGCCTTC